TCCAGCTAGGACTTCCAATACTATGTTGAATATAAGGGTTGAGAGTGGGCATTCTTGTCTTCTTTCTGATCAAAGATGAGAAGTTTTCATCTTTCAACTTTTGTGTATGATGTTAGCCGTTTGCTTTTCATACATGTATATAAGCTCTGACTGTTAAATTTGTGAACTCATCTGCGAAAAAGTGCTATATACCTCATTGCCGATTATCAATATAGTACCTTTGAAGTATACTCCTTGGGAAGCTATGCACTGATAACAGTGCCTAGTCTACCCTTCAAAGCAATTTTGGAACTCTTTTTCTGGAATGGCCATTAGCGCAAGTGTTCAAGGCTGCAATGATCTACGATTATGCCATTGTTATCCAGCTTAGGTGACAGAACAAGACCCTGTTGTATTATCCTTGATGTCCTGAATGTCATCAAAATGTCTTCTTTTCAATGTTTCTTTTATCTTTAGGTAAAGAAAAAGGTCTCTGGAGCCCAAATCAGGGGCATTCCAATACAATCATTTGGGCCCAGTACAGTAGCTTACATTGTAGGAGACTGAGGTGTGTGGATTAGTTGAACTCATGAGTTTGAGACCAACCTGAGCAAGAGCAAGACCCCATCTCTACTAAAAATAGAAAACCTAGCCAAGTGTCATGGTGGGACCTGTAGTCTCAGCTATTGGGGAGGCTGAGACAAAAGGATCTCTTGAGCCCAAGAGACTGAAGTTTTGTGAGCTATGATGATGCCATAGCACTCTGCCCAGGACAAAAGAGTGAGACTCTTGTCTCAAAGAAAAAAAAGTTATTTGTTTATTGGCTAAAAAACCTTTCACAGACAATGCTGTGTGAGCTGGTGTACTGTCACGATGCAAAATGCACATCTTTTTCATGCTAAGATTTTCAGTTAAGATTTTCCTGTTTATCTATCAATGTTTACTTGGTCTGCTATGCTTCCTATAGTCAGCCAACAATTTTGATTAATAATTCAACAAATTTTTGCAGTGTTTCCATCCCTTCTGCTTGTTATTGGCCTCCTGATCTCTCTTTATCAATGATACTTTCTCTCCCCTCAGAAAAATGTTCAACCCATTTGTATGCTGCCATTTTCTTCATAGCACTATCCCCATAACCTTGGACTAACGTGTGCCTGATTTCACTTCCACCTTGGCAAGTTCAACAAGAAATGTATGACTTCATTCCTTGCTGTAATTCAAGTTCTGACATTCTCTCAGCAGCACACAAAAATATGCAACAATAATGAACACCACTCAGTAAGACACTGCCACACATTGTCACCAACACAGCTGTAAGACCCTGATATACCAAGGTTATGAAACTTTATTGAGTTGTTTGTACAGTGCTATCAATATAAGTGCACAGTGGCAGGTTCATGAACTTAATTGTCACATTTTGAATGGCCTTTATTATATTGAGGCATGGTTATGATTTTTTATTAAACAATTATTTTTCATAATTTTATTACTATGGCAAAAATATATACTAACATAAAATTTTCCATTTTAACCATTTTTAAATGTACAATTTAGTGGTATTAATTTTATTTACAGCATTTTGCAATCGTTATTGCTATCTATTTCTAAAATATTCCAGCACTCTAAACAGAAACTCTGTAACCATTAATTAATAGCTCTCTCTTCATTCTACCTTTTTTTTTAGCCCCTGGCAACCTCTGACCTACCTGCTATCACTATGAATTTGCCTATTTTAGATGTTTCATATAAATAGAATTGTACAATATTTTATTTATTTATTTATTTATTTATTTATTTATTTTTGCATGTTTTTGGCCAGGGCTGGGTTTGAACCCACCACCTCTGGTATATGGGGCCAGTGCCCTACTCCTTTGAGCCACAGGTGCTGCCCAATATTTATTTTTTTATGTCTGGCTTATTTCACATAGCAAGATGTTTTTAAGGCCCAGCCATGTTTTAGCATATATCAGAATTTTATGGCTTGGCAACCATAGCTCAGTGGTTAAGGTGCCGGCCACATGCTCTGGGGTTGGTGGGTTCCAACCCAGCCTGGGCCTACTAAACAACAACAACAACAACAAAAATAGCCAGGTGGGTGGCAGGCTACTCAGCTACTTGGGAGGCTGAGGCAAGAGAATCACTTGAGCCCAAGAGTTTGAGGTTGCTGTAAGCTATGATGCCATGGCACTCTACTGAGGGCCACATAGTGAGACTGTCTCAAAAAAAAAAAAAAGAATTTCATTACTTTAAGGCTGAATGCTATTCCATTATATGTATTTATATCATTTTGTTTATCCATTTGTCTGTGGTGGACACTTAGATTGTTTCTACCTTTCAGCTACTGGAATGACATTGGCATGCAAATAAATGTTCAAGTTACTGCTTTCCATTTTTTGAGTTTATGAAGTCAGATAATTACATTTGTGAACTCATCATGGAAAAAGTGCCACATACCTCATTTCTGAATATCACTATGGTCACCTTCGAAGTACACCCCTTGGGGAGCTATGCATCAACACCAGTGCCTAGTCCACCCTTCAAAGCACTTTTTCTAGGATGAGTTCACAAACTTAATTGTGTGACCTTATACAACAACAGCTCTGATGACCACTCCAGAGTTCCAAAATTGCTTTGAAGGGTAGACTAGGCACTGGAATTTGTGCATAGCTTCCAAAGGGGAATACTTTGAAGGTGACCATGGTGATATTCAGCAATGAGGTATGTAGTACTTTTTCTAGGATGACTTTGCAAACTTAATTGTCCAACCTTGTATATCTAGGAGTGAAATTATGGGATCATGTGGTACATGTGCGTTAAACGTCTGAGGAACTGCCAAACTTTCCCATATCCTTACTAAGGAGGGCTTCAATTTCCCCACATCCTTACTAACACTTATTATTTTCCATATTTTGTTTGTTTTTATTATAGCCATCCTAGTGGGTGTGAAGTGGTATCTTATTGTGATTTTGATTTACATTTCCCTATTGACTGATGATATTGAACATTTTTCATGTGCTTGTTAGCCATTTGTATGTCTTTGAAGAAATGTCTTTTGAGTCTTTTGCTCATTTTTTAATTGTACTTTATCTCTTTTTGTTGTTGAGATACAGAGGTTCTTTATATATTTTGAATATTAAAGCTTTATCAAATATGATTCTGACTCTCTCTCATTGTATTTTTTTTCCTAATCTGTGATTCTTTAATTTTTTTCTTAAATATTTTCTCCTATTCTGTAGATTGTCTTTGTACTTTCTTTTCTTTTCTTTTTTTTTTCTTGAGACAGAGCCTCAAGCTGTCACCCTGGGTAGAGTGCCATGGCATCACAGCAACCTCTAACTCCTGGGCTCAAGTGAGTCTCCTGCCTCTGCCTCCCAAGTAGCTGGGACTACAGGTGCCTGCCACAACGCCTGGCTATTTTTTTGGCTGTAGTTGTCATTGTTGTTTGGCAGGCCCAGGCCAGGTTCAAACTCTCTAGCCACAGTGTATGTGGTGGCACCCTAGCCACTGAGCTACAGGTGCCGAGCCTAGAACTGCAATAAAGCGAGACTCTGTCTCTAAAAAATACATCTTCAGCCAGCTATGTATAAGGAATTGAGTCTCCACCTTGAACAAAAAGCCTCCTGTTCTTCAGTAATCCTGTCTACTCCAGACCCTCTTATTTCAAGGACTTGTGGGACCTGTGATAACTGCAAGTTAAATAGGAGTATGGGCCTTACTCAGGGGACTCCAGCTCCAATCTGTCACTCTATTTCTGAGAGGGGATGGGTTGCAATGGAGCTAGCAGGGAATGGGATGACTGGGTGACAGGCACACTGTCCCAAGGATAAACCTGGCTTACTAGTATCGTGTTGGAATTACTACAGATTAGAACTATAGATAATGAAGTATGACAGACTCAAGAGAGCAAATGAGTTATTCCTCTGCTGACTGCCCACAGAGTAACTGCTCCAGCATCATACATTAGATAAATATGGGTGCAGCAACTCATTTCTTATGCTTGATAATATTGTTTTCCCATTCCCACATGCCCCCAACAAAAGAAGTACAGTGTGGGGCTGACCATAGAGGTTAGAAAGCCAAGCCTGGCTGGGCGCCCATAGCTCAGTAGTTAGGGCACCAGCCACATACTCTGGGCCTAGTGGGTTTGAACCCAGCCCGGGCCTGCTAAACAAACAAACAAACAAAAAATAGCTGGGCATCGTTGCAGGCACCTGTAATCCCAGCTACCAGGGAGGCTGCAGCAAGAGAATTGCTTGAGCCCAGGAGTTGGGGATTGCTGTAAACTGTGACGCCTCTGCACACTACTGAAGGTGACAAAGTAAGACTCTGTCTTGGTTAAAAAAAGAAAGAAAAGAAATAGGCTTGGTGCCTGTAGCTCAAGTGGATAGGTGCCAGCTATAGACACCAAAACTGACAGGTTTGAACTCGGCCCGGACCTACCAAACAACAATAACTACAACCAAAAAATAGCCAGGCATTGTGGCAGGCCCTTGTAGTCCGAGCTACTTGGGAGGCTGAGGCAAAAGAATCGCTTAAGCCCAGGAGGTTGCTGTGAGCTGTGATGCCATGGTTCTTTACCCAGGGCGACAGCTTGAGGCTCTGTCTCAAAAAAAAAAAAAAAAAAAGAAGAAAAAGAAAAGAAAAGAAATAGAATGGTAAGCCTCTTCCACAGATCACATTCTCACCCTGGATCAGATCTCACCTATGGCCTGGGGAACTCACAGAAAGACAAATTTTTGTACAACCCCAGAATTTTTCTTTTGGCAGCAACAATTGGTCATACTGCACATTTCAAGGTTACAGAGGAGCCCCACAGTATAAATATGGGGCAGGAGCTGATAAATCTTGCTCAGGGCTTTACAATTAAGCTAGAGCAAGTGTTTGGGAAATTGACAACGTCAGGAAGGCAACGTCTGGAAGCAGGCACCCAAGGGATTCCAGAAAACCCTTCACTCCGGAACCTTAGGGATTCTTCATCTTGGGGCTTCTTCGGCAAGGGGGAGGGACGTGCAGATTGCTGGCTAAGCAGGGCCGGTGGGGGATGACGAGGAGTGCAGTTCCTTCAGACCCCAGCAGAGGTAGACTAAGGCAGGCCAACGGTTCCTAGACAGCAAAGACCGTTTTCTTGGCACTGGCTGGGGCAGCTCTCCTTCCCGCCCCTCTTCAATTAAATATGAAAGCCAACGACGATGAAAGTCATGTTGATACCGGACTTTTGATATTGGATTTCCAGGCTCTTGGTCTCCCCGATTCGATGAATGAATTGATGGACCACAGGATGAAAGTTAGGTTTTATTTAACAGGTATTACAGCTCTTACAAAGAGCCAAACCTTGCAGAGCAGGATAAGATAGGTTTTATATAAGTGTCACAGCTCTTACAAAGAGCCAAACCTCCTTGCAGGGCAGGTTACAAGTATTACAGTTCTTACAAAGAGCCAAACTTCCTTGCAGAGCAGGATCCAAGTGTTATAACTCTTCCTCTCCCCCTCAAAGGTCTGAGGGGAACTGCGATGATCTGCCCCTAGGCTCTCTACTCGGGGGTTTATATAGGGGCAGTTGTCCAATGAGCTGGAAGCTGATTGAAAATGGACTAATCAGGGATGCACTGGAGGAATTGGCAGTGTTTTCCCTTGATCGCTAGTCTCTTGTTACTGGAGCCTCCAGTGGGAGAGGAAAGCTCTCCCCGTGCTCCAGTCTGCCAGTTTTTGTGCCGGCTGCCGACAAGGCAGAGGCGGCAGGTCCTCCAGCACCCCGCTACTGGAGCCTCTGGTGGGGGAGGGAAGCTCCCCCGCTTGTTCCAGCCTGCCGGTTCCTTTGCCGGCTGCTGCCGCCAAGACAGAGGTGGCAGGTCCCCCAGCCCTGCTCTGGTGAGCTGGCTGGGGCGCCACTTTTCCGGTATCAATGTCTCTGATCTCGTCCCACTGGAAGCCTTTCTTGGCCCGGTCCTCCTGCTGCTTGCGAAGGGCCTCCCGCCGGGCCCTCAGGCGCCGTTCGCGCTCCAGTTGTTCCCCGTAGTGAGCCTGGTAGAAGGCGTCGAAGTTGAACATGGTGCAGTTGGCGCCGGGAGAGGCCCGACCCCCGACATGGGCCCGAGGGGCGGCCGGCGGGGGACGGGGAAACCCAGCGTCTGCTGTGGGCGTCTTGGAGGGCCGGACGCCGGGTCCGCGCAGGTCCTCGTCGCAAAGCAGACCGCGGTCATACTTGCAACGGAGGGTGGCACTGCCCAGCACCACGTAGGCCTGGGAGATGCGCGTGAAGCGCTCGGCAGCCTCGGCGCTCCCGTCGTTGCGGTCGGGGTGGTAAAGGAAGCTCTGCCGGTAGTAGGCCGCCTTGATTTGCGCCTGCGTGGCTGTGGTGGGGACGCCGAGCAGGTCGTAGAGTGCCGTGCGCGAGTATGGCGTGTCGACCCGGGTATAAGTCCTCGCTCCCAGGCCCAGGACGGAGGCTGGATTTTGTGGCGCTTGCCAGACCTGCCACAACCTCCACCACAACGACTGCGGCCACCTCAGACTTCTTTTGCACTTTTTATGGGGGAAGGTCTGGTATTATCGGTCTCCAGCTTTTGATCTCTATCCTAATTTCTTTTTCATTTTTGAAGGTTAGTATTTTGGGATGTATAATTCTTGGTTGACAGATTTTTCATTCAGCATTTTATTTTTATTTATTTATTTTTTCTTGGTTGACAGATTTTTCATTCAGCACTTTTTATTTATTTATTTTTAGAGGCAGTCTCACTTTGTTGCCCTGGGTAGAGTGCTTTGGTGTCACAGCTCACAGTAGGGTGACCAGATGTCCCGCTTTTGGCGGGACAGTCCCAATCTTTAACAATTTGTTCCGCATCTTGGCGTTTTAAAAAAGTCCCAATTTTTGGAAAGAATGCACGAATGGGTGGGAGAACAGTAAGGGAATATACGGTTTTCGGCTGCCATATGGCTGTTTTCCCAGGATATGAGTTTTATATTATTTTTGTTAATTTTATAATGTTAAACTATAATACTCAGGTCTATTCTTGAAATACTCTAGCAAATGTTTGATGTCAGTTAATGTACTTTTCAGTTCAAGAATTTCCCTTTGCTTCTTTTTCATAATTTATCTCATTATTTTGTTCATACATCATTTTCCTGATTGTCTTTAATTCTTTGTTCATCATTTCATTTAGCTCTTGAGCACATTTATGATAGTTTTTTTTTTCAGTCTTTGGTAATTTCAGTGTCTGAGCTTCTTCAGAGAATATTTCTGTCAATTTATTTTGTTACTTTGAATGAGCCATACTTTCTTTGTTCTTTGTATGACTTGTGATTGTCATTGAAACCTGAATATTTGAATATTATAATTTAGTGACTCTACTTCTCATGTTTGCTATGTTATGTGTGTGTTTTTAATCATTGAAGGCTGTAGAAGCCTTATTTATTTAGTGATTTTTTCCAAATGTTTTTTTCAAAGACTTATCATTTTCAAGTGTGGAAACATACGTCTCTTGATTCTTTTAGCTTTTATTCAGCTACTTTTTTTTGACAGAGATTTCCTTGAATATTGAGGAGCTAAAAATAGAAGAAAAATATATCTCTCCCATTCTTTGAGGATTGCTGCAGCTTTTCTTCAACACTTATGTAGCTAGGCCTGCACTGATCCTAGTGATCCGGTCAAGGTGAAGGCGTAGGGTCTTGTTCAGGTATTTTCTGGGCATACATCTTGCCCTGAGTATGCATATGGCCTTCTAAATTCTCTCTAATATATGAGTGGTTATGAATGCCCTGGTTTCCCAGAGAAATTTTCCCATATTTTCTTCTCAGACTTTAGGAGTCTATGTTAATTTTCCAGAGCTACTGTTAACAAAATACAACAGGCTCAGCATCTGTTGCACAGTGGTTATGGTGCCAGCCACATGCCCCAAACTTGCCAGGTTTGAGCCCTGCCCAGGCCAGCTAAATAACAAAGACAATTGCAACAAGAAAATAGCCTAGCATTGTGGTAGGCTCCTGTAGTCCCAGGTACTTGGGAGACTGAGGCAAGAGACTCGCTTAAGCCCAAGAGTTGGAGGTTGCTGTGAGCTGTGATGCCATAGCACTCTACTGAAGGCATCATAATGAGACACTGTCTCAATAAAAACAAAATACAACAGACTGGGTGGCTTAACCACCTGAAATTAATTTTTTTACAGTTCTAGAGGCCAGAAGTCAAAGATCAAGGTGCCAGCAGGGTTTCTTCTAAATTTTCTTTCATTGGGTTGCAGATAGCTGTCTTGTTGCTCTGTCCTCATGTGACCTTTCTCTGTGTGCACATATTCCTTATACTTTTTCCTTTTCTATAGGGACACCAGTCATATTGGGTTAGGGTCCTACCCTTATGACCTCATTAAACCTTATTTGCTTTCTTAAGGGACCTATCTTTAGCTACTGATACACTAGGTTAGTATTCAACTTGTGAATTTTGGGAATCTCATCTCTAACAGACTATTGTTATGTCTCAACTGTAATCTTTTGCCCCAGGCACATTTGAATTATGTGTCTTACAGTGTTTTTTGAGCAAAGCTCACCAGTTTTCCATCCTCAGGGGGTTCCAACTTCAGGGAAATTTAGAAACATATCTATATCATTCCTTCAGGTAATTATCAGACATGTTAGAGCAGACATACACAATAATTTGCAAATAAGGTCTGTCCTGCCTCCCCTCCCCCCCGGCCCCCAAACTCTCAGGGGTCCCACACTGGGAATGCAGGCTTCTGCCTTCAAGATTGCTAACAAGTTGGGGAGTAGGTGGGTTAAAGGCAAATAACAATACTACAAAGCTTTCTTTCCATTTTAAGTTGTATTTTTCTTGATTCGGCGTTTGTTTGGTTGTTGTAAACCTTTGACTGTTTTCCAGAGCTCTGGCTAAGTTGGTTCTAACAGTTACTACATGTTTTTTTGATGTTTCTGTGGGGGTATGAGAATGTAGAGTTGCCTACGGTGCCCTGTGGCTGAGGCCACAATTATATTTTAAAGAGATTGAAGTAATAAGTGAAAAAACCTCACATATGCCCACGTAGTTACCATTTCCAAAGCTCTTCATTTCTTTGTGTAGATCCAGATACCTGTCTGGTACTGTTTTTCTTCTACTTGAAGGACATCCCTTAAGTTTCAGTAGTGTTAGTGTGGTGCTGATGAATTTTTTCAGCTTTTGTATGTCTGACAATGTCTTTACTTCATCTTGTTATATTTTCACCAGGTATATAATTTTAGGTTTGCAGCTTTTTTTTCTTTCAGTACTTTTAAGTTGTTGCTGGACTGTCTTCTCACTTGTGTTTTTTTTTCTTATCTGCAGGGTCACTTGTGTTATTTTTTATAAGAAATTTGATATCATCCTTTTCTTTGTTTCTCTGTAACATGCCTTTTTTTTCCCTCTAGCTACCTTTGGAGTTTGCTCTGTGTCATGGTTTTGAGCAATCTGATTATGTGACCTATTTTGTTTTCTTTGTTTCTTATACTTGGGGTTGACCTTCATTTGTGGTTTATATTTTTCATTAGTTTGGAAAATTTGAGGCCATTATTTCTTATAATATTCTCCCATATTTCAACTTTGTAAACATGAAATACAGTTAAAAGTAATTTTAATGTATTTCTCTGCTTACTTGAACATGTGTTAGTTCTTGGTTAGTTTTGATTGATTGGTTATTCCTGTAAGTATGGGTCATGTTAAGATGACATTGTAAATTTTTTCTTGTTGAATGATGGTCATTTTTTATTTCTGTGCATTTTCCTGAGTTTTGTTTTGGGATGTATTTACAATACTTGGAAACAATTTTCTGAGGTCCTGATCTGGCTGAGGCTGGTCTCAAACCTGTGAGCTCAGGCAATCCACCCACCTCAGCCTCCCAGAGTGCTAGGATTACAGGTATGAAAAACTGTGCTGGGCCTATTTTATCCTCATTTTTATTGTTATTTTTATTTACTTATTTATTTTAGAGACAGAGTCTCACTTTGTCTCCCTTGATAGAGTGTTGTGGTGTCATAGCTCACAGCAACCTCCAGCTCTTGAGCATGGACGATTCTTTTACCTCAGCCCCAGAGTAGCTGGGACTACAGGCGCCCACCACAACACTGAGCTATTTTTTTTGTTGCAATTGTCATTGTTGTTTAGCTGGCCCAGACTGGATTTGAACCACCAGCCTTGGTTTTTTTGTTACAGTTTAGCCGGGGCCGGGTTCAAACCCGCCACCCCCAGTATATGGGGCTGGCACCCTACTCACTGAGCCACAGGCACCACTCATCCCTCGTTTTTATTTATTTATTTATTTATTTGCAGTTTTTTGGCCGGGGCTGGGTTTGAACCCACCACCTCCGGCATATGGGGCCAGCACCCTACCCCTTTGAGCCACAGGTGCTGCCCTCATTTTTATTTTTATTTTTTAGAGACACAGTCTCACTTTATTACCCTTGGTAGAGTGCCGTGGCGTCACAGCTCACAGCAACCTTGAACTCCTGGGCTTAAGCTATTCTCTTGCCTCAGCCTTCCAAATAGCTGAGACTACAGGCGTCTGCCACAACGCCCGGCTACTTTTTTGTTGCAGTGTGGCTGGGGCCAGGTTTGAATCTACCACCCTGGGTACATGGGGCTGGTGCCCTACTCGCTGAGCCACAGGTGCTGCTCCATCCCTCATTTTTAAAGGATTTTTTTTTTTTTTTTGCTGAATATATAATTCTGGGATGACAGTGGTTTTCGCCCTAGCATTTAAAAGAAACATTAAAAAGAAAAAAAGAAGAAACTGTCTTCTAGTCTGCCTTGTTTCTGATGAGAAACAGCAATTGTATTTTTATTTGTTTGTGGTTTGCTTAGCTTTATGGATCTTTTAGTCAGTATTTTTTATAATATTTGGGAAATGTGGACATTACTTAACAATTTTTTTTCTGGGCTGGGTGTGGTGGCTGACACCTGTAATCCCAGCACTCTGGGAGGCCAAGGCTGGTGAATCACTCAAGCTCAGGAGTTCTTGACCAGCCTGAGCCAGAGTGAAACCCTGTCTTTAAAACTAGCCAGGCCTCGTGGCAAGCACCTGTAGTCCCAGCTATTTGGAAGGCTGAGGCAAGAGAATCACTTGACTCCACGAGTTTGAGGTTGCTGTGAGCTATGAGGCCCTGGGACTTTATTGAAGGTGACAATGTGAGACAATGTGTCGCAAAAATAAAAAAAGAAAGAGAGAGAGAAGGAAGGAAAGAAGGAGGGAAGGGAAAGGAAGAAAAGGAAAAAAAAGAAAAGAAAGAGGTTCAGCGTCTATAGCACTGTGGTTACGGCACCAGCCACATACACCAAGGATGACGGGTTTGAATCCAGCCTGGCCAGCTAAAACAACAATGACCACTGCAACAAAAAATAGCCAGCTATTGTGGTGGGTGCCTGTAGTCCCTGCTACTTGGGATGCTGAGTCAAGAGAATCGCTTAAGCCCAGGAGTTTGAGGTTGTTGTGAGCTGTGACTCCACGGCTCTGTACTGAGGGTGACATAGTGAGACTTTGTCTCAGAAGAAAAAAGAAAAGAAAGAGAGAGAGAGAAAAAGAAAGAAAAATTAGTAAAAATAGCAAAATTAGCCAGGTGTGTGGCAGGCGCCTGTAGTCCCAGCTACTTGAGTGGCTGAAGCGAGAGGATTGCTTGAGCCCAAGAGGTTGAAATTGCTTTGAGGTATGATAAGGCCAAGGCACTCTACCCAGGGTGACAGAGTGAGACCCTATCTCAAAAGTAAACAAACTAACTAACTAAAAAAAGAGCCAAAGTTCATGTTGTAGTTTAGCCCTTTACCCAGGGAATTGGAGGGTAGTTGTGCTATATACCCTTTCCATTATGCCTTTAATCATTTTTACCCTCATATTAATCTGAAATTAAAAGAAAGAAAATCCCCAAGCCACATACACAAAAAGAAAAGGATAGCCATTTCTTCAGGTAAAATGGATTAGATATCTAAGTTAATTATAAATTTTAAAAATGCACAGCACTCATTTTATTGGCCAGGTGGGGTGGCTCAGGCCTGTAATCATAATATTCTGGGAGGCCAAGGCAGGTAGATTACTGGAGCTCAGGAGTTAGAGACCAGCCTGAGCAAGAGCAAGACCCCATTTCTACTAAAAATAGAGAAAACTAGTGAGGTGTTGTGGTTGGCTCCTGTTATTCCAACTACTCAAGATCCTGAGGCAAGAAAGATCACTTGAACCCCGGAGTTTGAGGTGAGCTATGACACCATGGCCCTCTACCTAGGGCCACAGAGTGAGCATCTATCCAAAAAAAAAAAAAATTGCTAAAGAGAAAAAGGTTTTGTTGTTGTCATTGCAATTTGACCAGGGCCAGGTTCGCACTTGCCACCCTCAGTATATGGGGCCGGCTCCCTATTCACTGAGCCACAGGCGCCACCCCTAAAGAGAAAATTTTTTTTCTGCCCCAGTGTCAGTCTCTTCTCCTTATAAGAATCCAGTTACACATATGGCAGACTATTTGATTTTGCCTCATAGGTCCCAAAGGATCTATTTGTTATGAAATAATGTCTACTAATCTTTCCTCTTTATTCTATTGTCTTTAGTGTACTTAATGTACTGTTAAGCCTATCCAGAGAATTTTTTGTTTCCTTTTTTTCTTAGTTTTAGCATTTCTGTTTTTGTTGTTGTTTATTTGTTTGTGGAGACAGAGTTCTACTCTATGTCCTGAGCAGAGCGCAATGGCGTCATAGCTCACTGCAACCTTAGACTCGGGCAGTGGGCATCTTGCTGCTTCAGCCTTCAAAGCCACTGGGATTACAGGCTCTCCTGCAGCACCGGGCTGGGTTTTTCCATTTTTTTCTTGAGTCGGGGTCTCACTGTCGCTCAGACAAGGCTTGAACTCCTGAGATCAAGCAACCCTCTTGCCTCAGCCTCCTGTGGTGCTGGGATTACAGGCATGAGCCACCATGCCTGGCCACATTTCTGGGGTTTTTTTCCTTACAATTTTCCCTTCTTTGCAGAGATTCCCTATCTATTTACTCTTTAGAACCAAGCTTTCTTTTAATTCTTTCCTAAGCACTCTGACTTGGTGATACCCCAAAACTTCCTGTGGAGTTTGTCATCTTGATTTTAGATTTCATTAGGGCAGATCTAGAATAGGTCTTTTTTTTTTTTTTTTTTTTTTTGAGACAGAGTCTCACTATGTCATCCTCAGTAGAGTGGCATCACAGCTCACAGCAACCTCAAACTCTTGGGCTTAAGCGATTCTCTCGCCTCAGCCTCCCAAGTAGCTGGAACTACAGGCACCCACCACAATGCCGGGCTATTATTTTTTGTTGCAGTTGTCATTGTTTTTTAGCTGGCCCAGACTGGATTTGAACCACCAGCCTTGGTCATGTAGTGGGCGCCGTCTTACTCTAAGCCATGATCCTTATCCCAAGTTGTAACCTTTTTTTTTTTTCCGAGACAGAGTCTCACTTTGTTACCCTCAATAGAGTGCCTTTCTGCTGTCTCAATAGGATGCCAAGGATGCTAAAGATGTATCTTTTTTTATTTTTAAAAAGTATTTAAAAGGGGCAGCACCTATGGCTCAGTGGGTAGGGCGCTGGCCCCATAAACTGAGGGTAGAGGGTTCAAACCCAGCCCTGGCCAAACTGCAACAAAAAAATAGCCAGGCTCTATGATACTTGTGCCTCAGATTCTGGAGTAGTTGGGACTACAGGTACCCACCATAATACCTAGCTTATTTTTTATATTTGTATTTGTATTTTATTTATTTATTTATTTATTTAGAGACAGAATCTCACTGTGTTGCCCTTGGTAGAGTATTGTGGCATCAGAGCTCATAGCAACATCCAACTCTTGGTCTTAAGTTATTCTTTTGCCTCAGCCTCCCAAGTGGCTGGAACTACAGGTGCCCACCACAACACCCAGCTATTTTTTTGTTGCAGCTATCATTGTTGTTTAGCAGGCCCAGGCCAGGTTGGAGCCTGCCAGCTTCGGTGTATGTTGCCGGTGCTGTAACCACTGAGCTACAGGCGCTGAGCCATTTTTTATATTTTTTAGTGGAAATGGCATCTTGCTCTTGCTAGGCTAGTCTCAAACTCCTTAGCTCAAGCAATCCGCCCATCTTGGCCTCCCAGAGTGCCAGGATTTCAGGCATGAGCCACTATGTTCAGCCACTAAAGATGTATTTGTGAGCTCTCACCCCTTGGCCAAGGCCAAAACTCCCATGACAATGTTCTTATCCCAGGATTGTTCTAACTCTAGAATCTTCTGTTCTAATCTTAACCCTTAGTACTTGCTTTCTGGTAACTTTCAGCTGGCTTACTTTGTGCATATACAGCTCAGCTGTATATATTAGAGTTCTCCAAAGAAACAGCAAATGGGCAGGGAGAGATATTATTGTAAGTAATTGGCTCATGTGATTATGGAGGCCCCAAAATCCACAGTTGGCAAGCTCAAAACTCAGGAGATGAGTTCTGGTTTAAGTGTAAATGTGAAGACCAGCATCCCAGCTCAAGAACATTCAGGCTGGGAGAGACAATTTTTTTTTTCTTTTTTTGAGACACAGTCTCACTTAGTCACCGTTGGTAGAGTGCTATGGTATCATAGCTCACAGTAACCTCAGACTCTAGGGTTAAAGTAATTCTCTTGCCTCAGCCTCCCAAGTAGCTGGGACAGTAGGTGACTGCCATAACACCCGGCTATTTTTTAGAAATGGGGGGGGGTGTCTCACACTTGCTTATGTTGGTCTTGAACCCATGAGTTCAGGCAGTCCACTCACCTTGGCCTCCCAAGTGCTAGGATTACAGGCATGAGCCACTGTGCCCAGCAGGAGAGACAATTCTTTTTTTTTTTTTTTTTTGAGACAGAGCCTCAAGCTATCCCCCTGGGTAGAGTGTTGTGGCTTCACAGCTCACAGCAACCTCCAACTCCTGGGCTCAAGCGAGTCTCCTGCCTCCGCCTCCCAAGTAGCTGGGACCACAGGCGCCCGCCACAACACCCAGCTATTTTTTGGTTGCAGCCGTCTTTGTTGTTTGGCGGGTCCAGGCTGGATTCGAACCCTCCACCTTAGGTGTATATGGCTGGCGCCTTAGCCACTTGAGCCACAGACGCTGAGCCAGGAGAGACAATTCTTAATCAGTCTTTTCAGGCTTTCAATATATTCGACAAGGCCCACCTACTTTGGGGAAAGCAAACTGTTTTACTTTGTCTACTGATTCAAAGCCAGAACACCTAATCTAGAAATACCTTTATAGATATACCCAGAAGTAAATCTTTAACCATTGTCTGATACCCACACTTGACTTGATTAGATCGTGCCATGTGGCCTTCAGCCACAGATTTGTGTCACACAAAGACTTATAGAAATTCCTCTTTGCACCGTTCCCTTCTTTCCTTTTCTCTGCCATTTCAGCTGTCTCTAAGTCTGATCTCTGTGTCATCAGCCCACGGGGATCTCCCTACTCTACTCAGACTCCACCTGTCTCCATCATAGTTGGGAAATTATCCCCAGGTAGAGGATGTTTCCTTTCTCTCTGTGTTCACCATCTTGTGCATCCTGTTGTCCTCAACCTTCTAGTAGTCGCCTCAAAAATTTTGTCCATTTCTATAATTGTTTATGGTGAGAAGACTAATCTGGTAACACTTAATGATAGCTGGAAAGGTTACTAATTTTCAGCTGTATAGTTGTCTTATTATATAAATCATAACACTACTAATCCATTCTTGTATTGATAGACATTAGACAGGTGTGTTCAAATAGTTAATAATGTAAATGAAGCTTCAATGACTTGTCTTTCCACCCAGAAATGGAATTGCAGGTTTATAAGATATATATTTCTTCAACCTTACTAGATATTGCCAAGCGGTTCTCCAAATTAAACTGTTTTATATATCCTCATCAGCATATGAATTCCACTTGTTCCACATCCTTGCCAAAATTTGATCTTGTTGAATTACTAAAATTTTCTACTTGTGCAAATGAATGCAGAATTGTATCTTGTTACCTTAATAAGTCTTTCATAGATTCCCAGTTAAGGTAAACATATATATATGTACACATGTACGTATTTATTATTGGATATTTGGGTTTCCCATTTAGTAAATTGTTTTTTTATCCCAATTTTGTTTTTAAGAAGTTGGGGGTTTTGTTATTGGTTCTTTGGAGTTTCTAATAAATCCTAGTTACTAATCCTCTTTGGTTTTATGTGTTAGAATACTTTTTTCAGCAGTTCTCAACCTGTGGGTTGTGACCCCTTTGGGAGTTGAATGACCCTTTCACAGGGGTCGGCTAAGACCATCTTGCATATCAGATATTTAAATTATGATTCATAACAGTAGCAAAATTACAGTTATGAAGTAGCAATGAAAATAATTTTATGGTTTGGGGGTCACCCCAACATGAGGAACTGTATTAAAGGGTCGCGGCATTAGGAAGGTTGAGAACCACTGTTTAGATGCATATGTTGTCTTTTCTTATTCAGAAGTATTACATTTTAATGTAGTCTTGTTTATCCATATTTTACTAAATGATTTGTGCTTTTTGTGTGTCCATCTCTTTGTTCTCTAAACACAGGGGTACCCCAGGACTCGGGATATAGACTTCTCATTTTACATTAATTCTTAATAATCTTACTTAGTCTCATGGTAATAATCTTACTTTGTATAATGGTATTTGTACTCTGTAGCTCCTCCACCAAACTCCAGTCATATATGATATTTAAAGGATCCTTGTTAAGCTAGATACTATATTTCTTTTTCCTTTTATTATACAAGTCTCTTGGGAGTCTTCAGTCACTTCTTCCATTTCTAGACAATGAACGGGCCTCCTTGTGGCAAAAGGGCTTTGGTTATAGTTTTAGGTCCCATTTTGTGGCAAAAGGGCTTTGGTTATGGTTTTAGGTCCCATTTTGTACCATCTGGGTGGGTTTCATGGGTTCAGACATTACTATGGAACCACTTTAATCAACAGTTAATGACATGGTAATTAGTCTTAAGTTACTCTAAGTTATTTTCCAGATCCTATTGTGCCTGAGATGCCTGGCCTGAAGGCTGGCTTGCAATTTTTTTGCAGATTAGGAGGGGTTCCTCCTTTTACGGGTGTGGCGGTTTCTCAGAAATAGGATTAAAGTAGGGCATCTCTAAGATGGGCATCCTTGTCCTTCTTCCCAAATCTAACTTTTCCTGTAAGAGGGGAAGTGTATGGCTAGTTTTTAACAGGTCTTGTGCTGCCTCTGCAGCCAAAGACTGGTACAGGCCTAGGGATGCACCCCCTGTGGCTGCTGTTCCCATAAAGACAAAAATGGTAATAGGTGTTGCAGGAAGACAGGGCCCAATGGAGAGAAAGAGCAACCAAACATCATGTTTATAAGAGAAAGGGCTTTATTTACTGGCTGGGAGCTTAAGGCATAGAAGATTTCCAAATGGCTGCACTCTCCGACCAGCTTGGTCTTTCCCTTTTTATTGGCAATCAAAAAGTTCCACCCCACAGGTACCACTCTCATTGGCCAGTTTGAATCAAGCGGGAGATGCTATTCTAGCCCCTAAAAAACTACAGGATTTCACAGAACTTAGAAATTTCCAAGTTCCAAGAAAACACTTCCCTCCCTCCTCCCCAAAATTCCCATGATCAATAGCAGTTGCTCTCTATTCCCCACTCCCCAACCCACTCTCCAGCCCCTGGCAACCACCCATCTACTTTCTCAGACAGCAAAATTTAACACAGGTACATTGATGACAAATCCTCAAAATCTACCCCAATATCTGGACCATGATGTGCAATTTGTAAGGTAATTGTCCCATATTATCAATTTGTACTTCAAAAACAAGTTTGGGGGCGGCTCCTGTGGCTCAGTGGGTAGGGCACTGGCCCCATATACCGAGGGTGGCGGGTTCAAACCTGGCCCAGGCCAAACTGCAACCAAAAAATAGCCCGGCGTTGTTGTAGACGCCTGTGGTTCCAACTACTCAGGAGGCTGAGGCAGGAGAATCACCTAAGCCCAGGAGTTGGAGGTTGCTGTGTGCTGCGACGCCACGGCACTCTAGGAAGGGCAATAAAGTGAGACTCTGTCTCTAAAAAAATAAATAAAACCAGTTTGGGGACCTGGGTTGGGAATGGTGGTTCATGCTGATCCCTGTGATCCTAAACTTTGAGAGGCTGAGGTGGAAGGATCACTTGAGCCCAGGAATTTAAGACCTGCCTGGACAATATAATGAGACGCCATCTCTACAAAAAAATAGGAAAAATCAGCCAAGTATATTGGTGAATGCCTGTACTCCTAGCTACGTGGCAGGCCGAGGCAGGAGGAACACGAGTCCAGGAGTTCAGGCTGCAGTTAGCTTGCTTTGCACTCCAGCCTGGGCAACAGCAGGAGACCTGTCGCCTAAACAAACAAACAAACAAAACAACGGTTGGAGGCCTGAAACTCAAGCAGGTTTAATTCGTAATGTATTAGAGCTAGATGTACATTTAACAAGGTTGGTTGATCTTGCTTTTCTCTATTGCTGTTGCAGTTAGCCTCTCTTTAGCTGTTTATACTGGGGCAGAAAACAGTAACTGAAAAAACTAAGGACGGCTAATGTCATTTGTGAAGAGTGCCTGATAGGTTGTGCTGGAGGGAAGTTTAGCCCCTATAAAATGTCATGGATTGAGAACTACATGAATAGTAGTTTTTGGTGCTTTTATTTTTAACGTGATTCTTTCACAGCACTGCCTCCGGATGGGTGCCACGCGTGTGGCCAAGCGATAAGTCTCTAGTATCAGAACTGGGCCTATAAAACACGCAACATTTTCTTTTTTTTTCTTTCTTTTTTTTTGGAGACATAGTCTTATTTTGTCGCCCTCGGTAGAATAACGTGACGTCACAGCTCACAGCAACCTCAAATTCCTGGACTCAGGCGATTCTCTTGCCTCAGCCTCTCAAGTAGCTGGGACTGCAGGCGCCCGCCACAACGCCCCACTAAGCACTCAGCATTTTCAAATGAGAACGGTCATTGCCCGGCAGTAGCGTTTCCTCGCGGTCGCTGCGCCCAGTCGCGCGCGCAGAGACGTACGCGGCGCTCTATGACGCGCGCGCGGCGCGGTGCACGCTGGGATATTTAAGTCTTCTCCGCGCCGCGGAGCCGCGATGTCTCCGGCGGCTGCGGCGGCCGGAGGAGGCGAGTGTCGGCGGCGGCCCATAGCAAGTGTCAGGGCTGGCAGGGGCCGGGGTGGGGGCTGCGGCGGTCCTGCCGGGGCGGCGGTCCTCGGCTTGTCGCTCTTCGGCCTTGTGCTGTATCTGGTTCCGGCGGTAGCTGCGTTGGCCTGGCTGGCCGTGGGGGCTACCGCGGCCTGGTGGGGACTGAGCCGCGAGCCCCGAGGTTCGCGCGCCTTATCCTCTCTGGTTCGGAACGCGCGACGTCGGCGACCACTACTCGCTTCGCCTCCAGCCAAGTCTGCGGTAAACGGAAATCTCCTAGAGTCGCGGACCCTACTCGAAGGACCTGACCCTGCTGAACTGCTCCTCATGGGTAGTTACCTGGGCAAACCTGGCCCGCCGCAACCTGTCCCCGCTCAGGAGGTTAGGGAACTGCGGGAGAGGCCTAGTCGCCGCCTACCCGCCTGTTCCGCACCTTTGGCTTCACCAACCCATCGTGTACACCATGTTTACCCTACTCTCCCCACCCCTCTTCTCCGAACCTCTAGGAGGCCTTTCCACAGGTAAGATACATTGATTTTCCCACATTCTCCTCTAGTTAGACTGGCATTAAATTGAGGACTTGACTTTTAAAACCAATTTTCTTTTTCATCAAATCCAAAGTAGATTATACGTAGTTTTATCCTCTCTAACAAAACCTTGGTGTGTGTCCTCAGTCTCTTGCCCTCTAACTCTTAAATGAGATGTTGTGTTGCCAGAAACAGCTTGGATTTTAGTGTCTGGATTTAGCAGAATACATGATAAACTACTAAAATTACTCTACTTTGGGTAAAAATAACATTTTCTTCGAATCATGTAGTATGTTTGGTTATATTTTTGTCTTTGGACCAGTAGAAGAAATTATATGAGCTACATCTAGGCTGGGCAACAGAGCAAAACCCTGTTTCTAAAAGAAATTATATCAGCAGAGCTCAAAGAGGTGTTGCCGGGAAACACCTCCTTTATAAAGCCGATCAAAAAAATTTTTAAGAGACGGGGTCTCATTCTCTTACTCTGGCTGAATTGCAATGGTGGGATAATAGCTGACTGTAACTTTGAGTTCCAGGGCTCAAGAAATCCTCCAGCCTCAGACCCCCAATAGCCACACAGCACCAAACCAGGCTAATTTTTGTTTTTCATTTTTTTAAAGGGGTGAGTTCCTGCTATGTTGTCCATGCTGGCTGAACCCCTGGCCTTGAGGAGGTCCCCAAAGATCTGGGATTACTAGCATGAGCCATTGTGTCCATCCAAGCTGATCAAATTAAAAGAGACTTGCTTTGGAGATAGTCTCTGTTGCCAGAACTGGAGTGCAGTGGCATCATCATAACTCACTGCGAGCTCAAACTTCTGGGCTCAAGCAACACTCCTGCTTCAGCCTCCTATGTAGCTGGGACAACAGGTACATACTAGCTCACCCAGCCAATTTTTCATAGAGATGAGGGTTTTGCTCAGGCTGGTCTGAAACTCTGGGCCTCAAGTGATTCTCCTGCTTTGGCCTCCCAGAATGTTAGGATTACAGGTGTGAGCCACTGTGCCCAACTTGAGGAGACATTTTTATTTAGTCCCAATAGCTGGATGATAAAAGAGAATACAAAAAAATTGGTGAAGATGTTAGATTTTTGATAAATACATTTAATTGGGCTGGGCGTGGTGGCTCATGCCTGTAATCTTAGCACTCTGGGAGGCCGAGGTGGGTGGACTGCTTGAGCTTATGAGTTCCAGACAAACCTGAGCAAAAGTGAGACCCCGTCTCTACTAAAAATAGAAAAACTGAAGCAAGAGTATTTCTCGGCTCGGCGCCTATAGCTCAGCCGGCTAAGGCGCCAGCCACGTACACCTAAGGTGGCGGGTTCGAATCCCCAGCCCGGACCTGCCAAACAACAATGATGGCTGCAACCAAAAAATAGCCGGGCGTTGTGGCGGGCGCCTGTGGTCCCAGCTACTTGGGAGGCAGAGGCAGGAGACTCGCTTGAGCCCAGGAGTTGGAGGTTGCTGTGAGGGCGGGCGCCTGTGGTCCCAGCTACTTGGGAGGCGGAGGCAGGAGACTCGCTTGAGCCCAGGAGTTGGAGGTTGCTGTGAGCTGTGATGCCACGGTACTCTACCCAGGACGACAGCTTGAGACTCTGTCTCCCCCCCAAAAAAAAAAACCACATTTAATTGAGAAGGTGAACCAGGTATTAAAAATGTTTGCCTTTAGGTACATTATCACTGATGATTTAGCACAAAGGATCGAAGGATACTTGAAAAGTTCCTCCCTGTACACACCAACAACACATACTTTTTTCCTCCATTGTAGTTTTATTTGCATGGGCAGGGTTTTTGATTTCCCCTCAAATTGTTAAAGTCCACCTGCCCTTAGATGGAATAAGGGAAAGTTGCCATAAAAATACTGTATTCTGTTGATTAGAAAGAAAGAGATTTATTAAGCCCTTTGGAAGATGTCTTAACTCGTGTGGTTATTTAGCCATTTAAGTTTTCTGACATTCTATTAAGCTTTTTTTCATGATGTTTCTCCCATTCTCTGCAGGGAGTGTGGGAGTTTATCAAATCGATTTGTAATAACACCTCGAAGACGATATCCGCTCCAGCAGGCCCAATATTCGTTTCTGGGGGTACTTCCCACAGTATGCTGGAATGGTTGTCCAAAGAAGACTGTGTTATCTGTTCGTAATTCCAGGATGGGAATTAGCCCAGTGACTGTGAGGATTGCCCCTCCTGACAGGAAATTGACTCAATCTACAATGTGAGTATTACTATTGGAAGAGTACTATCCCTTTTGTGTCCTCTTCATTCTTCTACACTTGTTCCTCTGACAGAAAAACTGTAAGGAAAAAAAGTAACAGGTTATTTGAATGAGAAGTCCTAAATTCTAGTAAAATCTTTTTTTTTTTCCCATCTTTTGCCGTGGACAGTAGCTTGCTCAGAACAGTTTCTGTGATTATAGATTATACTTTTGCCTTTTGGTTAGCCTCTGATTTTTTAGTGACCTGAGTCTGTGCTACGTAGCATCGTAATTAATAACTGTTAGAGTCTTTTATTTCATTACAGGCCAGAGCAGGTAATCAGCTCAGCACTGTCCTCACCATCAAGTAATGCCCCAGACCCATGTGCAAAGGAGACTGTTCTGAGTGCCCTCAAAGAAAGGAAGAAAAGGACAGTGGAGGAGGAAGACCAAGTATGTACTGATGGCCAGGAAAATAAAAGAAGGTAACAGTCCTAATTTCCCTCAAATTGTTGAAGTCCATTATAGAGATAGCTGTTTAGGCCTAAACAGACCTCCTGTGTGGACTCCTGAGAATTCAGTGAAATATAGAATATTACTATAAAGATACAGAAACTAACTCTAGTTTGTTAGCCTTAATAGGTCCTCTTTTTGGCATTCATGAAAGAGCTTGGTAATAAGGGCTTCAGTGCTGTTAATTTCCTAAGGCACAGGTTAAATTTTATAATTTACCTTTTCCATAAGTTGTGGAGATAAGGTGACAACTATTAGCCATGTTACCCTCTACTTTGGGCATAAATGTTTAAACTTTTATTTTCACATTTGAATACTCAAAGTCTTCCCTTCATTTGGTGTTGTTCAATTATTTGGGTAACCACTAGTTTAAATGTCATAATTGTGCTGAAAGAAATACTTGTCAAAGAAAAGTAAAATCTAGAGTATGGTAGAGTTATCAGTAATGACACTAAAACCAATCTGGCTTATATGGTAACTTAATGAAAATGCAGTAAACTGTTTCCTAAGTATGGAAAGAAAGGATATTTAAGTGGTTAGTTATGATACAGAACTATTTGTGGTTTTCTAAGGAATCAGTTAAAGATTCCACTCATTTTTTTAATTCAGCAAATATTTGTTGAGGCCCTACTGTGTGCCAGACCCTGTTCCAAGTATGGTGGATAGAGCAGTGAACAAGATGAAACCCCTGCTCTTTGGAGCGAGACAGACAGTTTTGAAAAATGATAGTAAGATAAACATGGTAATTATGGAATGTTAAGTGTATAGAGGTTAAAAAAACAGGGTAATTAGAGGGGATTGAGAAAGGGGGCTTCTTTATATAAAGTAGTCAAGGAAGAGCTCTCTGAGGAGACAGTGGACTCCACACCTAAAATACTGAAATCGTCCCGATTACCTAGACTAGATTGTTCGCATTCAAAAGTTTCAAAGTTGGCTATCTTTGATAATGTAGATGACAAAATTAGGTGAGGGAAATCTTAATAAGTGCAAGTGTATTTATGTAATACAGGAAGATCAGGTAGTGATAACTAGAGGTGGGAATTAACAGTGTGGCAAGTTTGCACTAATGTCAGCTAAGCAGTAGTGGCAGGGGGTATAGAGAAAGCAACAACTATTATTGTGATCCAAATAGATTTTTCATGTTCTCCAAGGTAGTAATTTTTCCTGAGCCCAGTGAGCCTTTAAATACAGATTCTGTATTATTTTTCCTTTAAAATCCTGTAAGCAGTGATTGTGTGCACTATGCATTGGCTCTTTATAGGTAATATAATAGACCTTTCCCTAAATGGCTTGAGAACCTCTGGAGCACTGTGAGATATGTGGGTTGGTCCCTCACATGTTTTTTCTTTATTTTTTTTTTTTTT